CAACAAAGTTCGAACCAACAGACAATCTATTATATGCACCTGGCCAAACATGATTCTTCTGCAGGCTTGCCACCCCTTTCAACGCTAAGAGTCTCAAGCATACGTCGCTCATAACCCGGGAAACTCTCGTCTTCCTGTCCTTGGGGTCTGATCCTCTGTTAAAATGTAACTCCGAGAATCCCAAGCACTTGATATGGAGACATCTTAAACATGCGAGACATTCATCAACTTGCACTAACACGCCAGTTGACGAGCAGACAAAACGCGAAGAACGTCAGTTGACATGGAAGCAGCATTGGAAATTGAAGGGGAATAACATGCGAAACATGATGCTCAAAAACGTGGCGCACAACTCTCCTACTTGTCGCGTAACTTTCAAACGACAAGTCAACTCGTCAACGACAGACCAACATACATCCGAGGTCCTTACCCAAGTGGCCTGATCCGAATACTACGCAAGCATTGAAAAAAAAACCATGGCAAAGGAATTGAGCTGCATAAGGTCGGCTGATATGAGCCACCACCTACTTACCCTCAGTTATAGGCAGTTAGGGTATAATAAATGCAGGCTGGATCCTGAACCGCAGCAGCCATGAAGTCACGAGACCGAAATCAAACGATTCATTATATCAGGGCTTGATAGGGGACAGGCTGAGGGTCCCATATGCCTTTTTGCTTTTCATTTCAGGGACGAACAACTGCCTGCACTGCAGCTTTAGCCTGAGCATTGCTTCATATCTGGACCGTGTCGAAAAAGGTTATAATAAGCCTGATAGTCCCTGCTGGACCCTGAAAGTTTTATGTCAGCTTGGCCGAAGCTTTTGGTAAGACATTATTCCGTCTCCCCAGTCCCTGACACTAAACAAGCAAGTATATGAAACACTTAAAAGAACTGCTTCAGGCTCTGCAAGTCGGGGATATTGCGAAGACAATACATCCTTCAAAGTGACTTCTGAATACTATTCAAAAATTGAGATGCTTTTCGACGGTTGTTCTGGCTAGGTATGGAGCGTAAATGAGCATAGAGGTAGGTAGGTGGTTACTTATATTCAAGACTTGAACAACAAATGGTCTCACTTCACTCCAAGGCACGGGCCCGGAGCTGAAGGACAGAGCCTATTGTCAAATGAATCACCAAGACAAAGATCAAAGTGTTACTGCTGGCTGGCTGGCTGGCTGGAATCTTGTCCAGTAATCCCCCCGACATAGTTTTCTTGAGCCTGGGCCAAGTCTTGATGGCAATATCTGAATCTTTGGGGGTGAAGTAACTTCACCACAAGAACAGAGTAAATTTGGAAAATCAAACCAACTCAGATCATGTGAAGCTAGTGATGATTCACTGTGATACTCTTATGGAGCCTCTATGAGCTATTCCATGAATATACGTGTCTCTCTACCCCGCGAATAGCTTTGGTGTTGAGATGGGTCGGGACCCCGCGGACACGGGCATCGAAGGGACGAGTTTTGTAACGAAACCCGGTCAGGTTCGGTCAAGCTGAAACACACAAACAGGCAGCTAAATTAGAATTAATATTTTTTGTTTATTCTTGTGCTGAATGATCAAGAATGATCAATGACTTTGATTGTGGCTGGAGAGTCAACGTAAGAAAGCTACCTACCTACCTGCTTTGCTAGTGGTACGTTAGTAGCTTGGTGGCCTTAAAAGCCATGGATCAAAATCAGAGTCTTGAAGGGCCACGTATCCTCAGCTGCCAAAAAGAGGGGCCAGCGATTAGACTTGAGGTGGTGTCGTGCATAAGACCCTACGAACCCCTGAAAGAGCCATGCACTGAATTCGTATCTGGTAAAGCCGAGTACGAGAGAGAAAGGACATGTAAATCTGGAGGCTGATATCGACCTCAGACCTCAGAGACCGTGGATTGGAATTGGAACGAGATTGGTGGGGGTTTGATCGACAAGTGGTGGGTGAGGGAATGACTGGGTGGACTGTAACTGTACCTGCGTTTTGTGGCTGGCTGGGATTAAGCTCAGGAGACAGAGAGAGAGAGAGAGAGAGAGAGAGAGCTGTTCATATATCGCATCAGCTCGTTATATTTATCTACTCAGTTAAGCTATTATTCATAGACAATTGACGATCTAAACTATCCCGTTCCTCCCCGAGACATTGGATTGAATTGGATCTCAATACCTACGGGGTTTAGGTGACCCAGCCACCCAATCATATGCTCGAGAGTTCATCTGGGCCCTGTCTTTTTCACACCGCCCCTCCACAAACCCAAACCCAGGCCAAAGCTCCCTCCCTTTTTGGGTTCTGCCCCACGAAATCTCCATCCAGTCGCCCTCTTAAAAAATAAACCCGTCTCAGCGACTTTCTTCCTCTTCCCTTTCATCATATTATCTCAAAGCTTTTGGTAGCCATTGGGATCTGTCGTCAAAATGGCAGAGAAATCAGGCGTCACCGGCGCCGACTTTGAGTTTGTTAAAACTCCTCCTTATCCCAAGCCTGACTTTGACAAGCTTGAGGATGTTGGTGTTCCTACTACCAGGGTAAGTTTTGACCTGATTGTTGCGTTGTCTGTCCTCTTTGAGATACCAGAGAATCAATGCTAACATTCACCCTATAGTATCCCGCCATCAAGAACGCTCCTCTCCCTGCCGATGGCTCTGGTGCCGATACCTTCAACAACTATGTCCTCATCTCTATCTTGGTCGCTGTCCCTTGGTTCCTCAGCCGAAAGGTCGGTGGTGGACTCAAGACCACCATCTTCTTCGCCCTCATCGTCGACCTTCCCCTGCTCGCCGCTTGGTGGCTTATAATCTCCTCCATCAGCCCTCGCAAGAATGAGAAGGTTCGCCTTCCTAACCGTGGTGTCGAGCACTACCTCGAGTTCAAGAAGGAGGCCGACCGCCTCAAGTACCGTGGCAGCAATAAGATCCCTATGGAGACCTTCCACGAGATGTACTTCGATGGTGATGTTGACTTCAAGGGTGACTGCCTCGAGGTTATGGAGTACCGCCACGACTGGGCCAGCTTCCGCTTCACCATTGGCCTCATCAAGTTCTTCCTCTTTGGCATGATTCCTGAGGTTATCATGCACACTCGTTCTCAGGGTATGTGCGCCAATTCAAGATCCATTGAAAGATAGACTAACGTATAGCAGACGAGGAGCAGGTCCGTGACCACTACGACCGTGGTGATGACTTCTACGGCTGGTTCCTTGGTCCCCGCATGATCTACACTTCTGGCATCATCTCTGACATTAACCGCGAGGAGACTCTTGAGGAGCTCCAGGACAACAAGCTTACTGTCGTTTGCGAGAAGATTGGCCTCAACAAGGGCGACTCTATGCTTGATATTGGCTGTGGTTGGGGTACTCTTGCTCGCTTTGCCAGTGAGCAGTATGGCGCCCATGTCACCGGTGTCACTCTTGGCCGTAACCAGACCGCTTGGGGTAACAGCAGCATGCGCAAGGCCGGCATCCCCGAGGAGCAGAGCAAGATTCTCTGCATGGATTACCGTGATATTCCCGTTCCCGAGGGCGGCTACAAGAAGATCACCAGTCTTGAGATGTCCGAGCACGTTGGTATTCGCCACTTCGGCAGCTTCTTGAAGCAGGTCCACGACATGCTTGACGATGATGGTGTCTTCTTTCTCCAGTACGCTGGTCTCCGTAAGGCTTGGCAATACGAGGATTTCACCTGGGGTCTTTTCATGAACAAGTACATTTTCCCTGGTGCTGACGCTTCTACTCCTCTCGGCTGGGTTGTCGACAAGCTAGAGGGTACCGGTTTCGAGATTAAGCACATTGATACTATCGGTGTTCACTACTCTGCTACTCTCTGGAGGTGGTACCGCAACTGGATGTCCAACCGCGACAAGGTTGAGGCCAAGTACGGCAAGCGATGGTTCCGTATCTGGGAGTACTTCCTGGCCTACTCCACCATCATCTCTCGCCAGGGCAGTGCCACTTGCTTCCAGATCACCCTTGTCAAGAACATCAACTCCACGCACCGAGTTGAGGGTATTGAGACCCAGTTCGCCATCACCGGAGCTCTTGACAACTGCCGCGCTGATCTCCAGTCGTGGGCTTCCAGAAACAACGTCAAGACTCCCTCCGAGTACCTGTAAAGGCATGATTGAGAGGTTGACAGTGACTAGTCAGTCAAATCTTGAGTCGTGCAAGACGCGGCAAGAATTTAATGGGATGTCTTGTGATAAGAGGCCAGGTTTGAGTCTTGAGTTACCTTACTTAGTTATGTGACGGTCGGCTCAGGAAACGGGAACTGGATCTATCTGCATATTTAACCCGGAATGCGCCCCCTTGGCCGATAGAGTCGGCTGAGGCTGGTCTAGTCGCAAAGGGCAAGCTTCATGTGTTTCATGATAGATGTGTAACGGCAGCATAAAACAAACGGAATGGATGCGTATCTATATAGATGCTATATAAGGGATGAATTGAAAAGTTTGTTCGTATTGACTCGGTCGCCTCGTTATTTGTCCCTTCACTTCTTCTTACCGTTCGTTGTTGAGATGTATCATGACTACTGGTATCATCGGCTTATCATGACATCCACGGCCCGAAACCCGTGATTTGCTGTGACTTTCCATTTCTCACCATGTATAGGTAGCCATAAAATAAGGCTGGAAGCAATTTAGTTTTTACGAGCTCGTTTCAATTCGTTTCCGATCTCGCTGCTGCTGTTGACTAAGAACAGTTATACGAATGGCGTTGCTTTTCATCCAATTTTCATAATTTTGGTTGATGATCTTAAGCCGAGGCTTTCCCTCTGTAACTAACACTTGGACTCGACAACTAGTTATTCTAATTGGAAAGCAGCAACCAACATTGTTACCGGACGCACAGGCTCTCCATATAATTCAATACCAAGAGATATATCTCATCATGAGGCCATTATCAAGACTCAACCGCTATTGCGGTCCTGTTTTCCACAGAGCCTATACCACAAAAGCCTCCTCATCTATAACTTCATCACTCAAAGCCCACCCACCAAAGATAATAGCAGACTATCTGACTCCGATGCCCTCTCATCTCCTCACAACCACAATCAACGACCTTCTATACCTTTTGCCCACGGTGTCAAAAATATCATCGCCTCCTCGCGCTCTTCCTCAAGGTCATCATCTTGTCTACTTCCCTATTCAATTGCCTCCCTCGCGTCTCATTCCTGATGGCGCAGATCCTGATCATTCGCCCGGCCCGCCTTATACGCGGCGTGTATGGGCAGGCGGCGAGGTTATCTTCAGGGGAGATGGGATGAAGCTTGATGCGAGACCGGCGATCTGCCAGGAAACGATTGGGGATGTTACCTTGAGAGGCAAAGAGGGCCAGGAGAAGGTGTTTGTTGATGTGTGGAGGAAATATGGAACTGGCCATGAGGTTGAGGGGAGGACAGAGTGGGATATTGAAGAGAGGAGGACGTTGGTATTCATGAGGGACGAAGAAGGGTCTGCCTCATCACCTTCACCTTCGCCTTCGCCTTCACCTCCACGTTTGCTCAAGCGCAAGGTTTCTTCATATCAAGCTCCAGGATCATCATTACTGACACCAATCTCAGACCCTCAACCACCAAGGTACTCAATCTCGCTCACACCTTCGCCAATACACCTATTCCACTTCTCAGCGCTCTCATTCAATGCTCACTCTATTCACTTCGACCCTCAGTTCGCGCGAGAAGTTGACGGTCATCGAGCACTTCTGGTCCATGGCCCGTTTACTCTTGCTCTGATGCTTCGCTTCCTCAACGACCGAATCGGTGCTGGTGTGGCCGTCTACAAGTTCAGCTATAGGAACTATGCGCCTCTGTACGTCAACGAGCGCATGACCATCAATATCCGCAAGGTGTCGAAAGAAGACGGCGCTGAAGGACGATGGGATGTTTGGATTGAGGGGCCAGAAGGAGGAATGGCTGTCAAAGGAACCGCGGAGGTTGTCAGTAAATAAAGATGAATCTGATATGATATTTTAATTTGCCATAGATGATGTGACTAGATACGAGAAAATGCCGACATGCTATACAATATGATTGTCTAACCAAAAGACTGACTTGGACTGAACGCCCCAGATGACACCGCTCTATCCTCCATTAGCCTAATTTTCGTTCCTTTCCTATCGATAGATAACACAAGAGTTCTTCTGCCTAAAATACGACAGAACCCCTTATCTGTACACACATGATACACGCTTCTACCCATCAATACATCTAATCGGCCCATCCAAACACCTCGCCAAGGGACAAGGTGTTGCTACGCAGGCCAGTCAGAGTGACGAGAATAGTCACCAGATCAAGAACGAGCAGGACGGTGCTCGCAAGCATGAAGCGAGGGCTGAAGACACGGTAGAGCATCAGGTGACGACGCAGCCAGCCAGCCCAGCTCATAGTAGCCAAGGCTTCAACAGCATAGTAGACGAGGAAGACGCCAATGCCGCGGGTGGCTGTCTCTAGAACTCCCTTCTGCTTGGGGCCGACCTTCCACAGAGCTAGTAGTGGTACGGACGCAGCAGCGATGATCTGGCCCGCAAAGCTGTTGAGAATAACCACCAAGGGGGTCCAAGGGTAGCGGATGCTAAAGAGAGGGATAAAAGCGCTATCCCACTGAATGCTAGACAATACAGCCTGGTGGCCAGTCTTGAAGTAGTAGAAGTTTCCAAGTACAGCGAGCATGATAGGCCCAATGGGACTGGTCTTGAGCTCGTTGAGATCCAAAAGCTCAGCCAGGGTAAGAATCTGCCAGAACATAAGAGCAAGGGCACCACCGCCCATGGGCTTCGAAAGAAGGAAGCATCCCAAAAGAAGGTTAAGCGGGAGCAACAAGTAGCGAGCGCCAATAGCGTTACCATATCCAATGATAGTAACAACAGGACGACCGCCAGCTCCAGCAGATTGGAGGAGGGAGACGCAGGGAGGCGCCCAAACAAAAGCAGTGCTTCCGGCAATAAAGGCGAGAGCAAGGACAATCTGGGCTAGGTAAACTCCGATGGTCTTGGGGGTTCCCTCGGCGAGACGTCCCTCCAGCCAGCCGCCGTTGTCAGCGGCATCGATAACCCAGTACAAAGCAGATAAGAACAGGCCTCCACGGATGACATAGCCAATCCAAGTCGGGGCAAGGCCCTCATACGATCTGCTTGTGACAAGGAACGATTTGACAATAGCTGGAAGAATAAGGCACACAGCAAAAGGAATGGCAAGCTGCCAAATTGCAGACGTTGAGGAGGTCGAAGAGGCGTAGTATGTAGAGGTGCAGTAGGGCATCTGCTCCTCGCGACACAGCTTGGAATACGAGGCGAGACGGCCAAGAATGATGAAGGCAACAGAGTGGTAAATGCCCAGATATCTCTCCCGTCGAACCTCAATGCGGAATGCAGAGACAGCACTGGCCACACCAAAAGTGGTGATAAAAAAGAGAAGCATCGAGTCTTCCCAGATGGTGTAAGAGTTAGAAGCAAATCCGATCGATTGGCTTACGGTGAAGATTACAGCCAACCAACCCCAGAAAGTTGAAGGGAAGACATTGAGAATAGTCCTACCTGCATCATGCAGGGAAGAGCTGAGACCAGCCATAAAGAGCACTGCAACAAGAGCTGCAAGACCCTCGATAGGCTGCTGCCGATATAGGCCTACACCTGTAAGAACAGAGACAGTAAAGAGAATCTTGGGGTCCCAAAGGCCCTTGAGGATCTGCTTGTGCAAGACTTCCACGGTCTCAGGCTCGTTCTCCTTGAAAGCCAAGAGTTCCAGCTTCTTCTCGGCATAGTCAAGCTCGGCGTCATTCATAATAACGTACTCATCTTCCTCCTCCCGAGAAGAGTACATCAAGAGCAAGACGAGACCAAACCCAAAGACGACAATACCCATGATCATACGAGGAACATCGAAACGTGCCCAGAGGTCCTTGCAGACAGACAGAGTAGTCTCCTGGAACTTGGTGAAGGCAACGTAAGCATCACGATCATTCTTGGCAATGTTGCGAGCAGCCTCCCAAAGAGCAGCGGGAGACTCGGCTCCGTCGCCCTGAGTCAGGCCTCGAGCCTTGTGGTAAGATGCCTGGTATCTCTCAATCCCAGCTGCAGCAACACGCGAAACAGCGTTGAGGTTACGCCAGTCATTGCCCTTAGTACCAGAAAACGCCTCCTCAATTGGTCCTCCCAGGTTATTGAAGGGAATAGGAATACCAAGAAGCAGCGCAAGGGTAGGAACGAGATCAATCTGGTTTACTGGTCGAACCTTGGCGTTAGGGGGAGGAACAGCAAAGTCGGAGGAGGTTCTGCCAAAGAAGGGCTTCTTTGAGTACATCCAGAGAGCAGCCTCAACTTCGTCATCGCTCTCGCCACCATGATCACCCTTGCTGTCCATGCCATGATCTCCCATAACAACAAGAAGTGTCTTGTCATCAATACTCTCGACAAGCTTGCGGATAAACTCGTCCATCTGGCGAAGCTTGGCTCCCATGGCAGGGTGATCAGGTCCGTATCGGTGGCCAGCATGATCAACACCAAGACAATGTCCAATAAGGAGATCCCATTCGCCCTTTCGCTCCTTGTTCAATAGCGGGAAGATGTTGTCAATAACGCCGTTATCGACAGTGTGAAGGTCCCAGACGTTGAAGCTGTCATAGGCCTTGCTAATATTAGGTTCGAAGTAACCAGGGAAGAGAGACCACCACGTATCATCGCCAAGGTGAGCAATCTTCTTGCCAGCGTCCTTCAGCTGCATCAACAAGTTGTCCTCCTCGATAGCCGCGCCAGCAAAGTTGCTTCCAACATCAACGAAAGTAGGCAATGTTCCCGTCGTGAGACCCTTGAGTCTCTGCATCGTCGCGGTCGGAGGATCAGCGATAAAAGGGCGAAGGAAGGCATTCTGGGGCGACCTGGCAGCTGTCTCGTAGAGGTAGGGGAACGCATTGTGGAAGTGCTGGGCTTGCGCCGGATCCTCGGGAACGGTGAAGTCGTATCGAAGTGCATCAATTAGAACAACAACGGCTCTGTCGAACGATTTAGGGTGCCAGCAGCCGCGATCGACATTCAATGAGCCCTTGGTGTTCTCAATTGGAGGTAGTGTGCAGTTCGACTTGTCCTCCAGCACCAGCCGCGTCAACAAGAAACCGCTTGTAAAGAGCCAGATGCCGAGCGCGTGGATAGCTAGCAGGACGACCCAAAAGGCAGCAGTCCATCGCCAGCGCTTCTCATATGTATTCTGCCGTCTCTTGTCGAGCGCCTCGCGTCGTCGCTCCAGAACCTCTACGTTCTCTTCGGCGGGAGGGAGTCCAAATTTTGCATTGGCAGCTTGTTGAGCAGCACGAGCTCTTTCAGCTTTAGCCCATTGTTCCGCAATCTTTTGATGTTCGGTTTGGGGAGGCTGCTGCTGAGCCTTGGGCTTAGCCTTTGGCTTCTGTGGCATCTTGAATGTTCGTAGGTAGGTAAGAGCTAGGGAACGTAATCGCTATCGAAAGGGAAGAATTGAGGCCAGGTTCAGGGCCATTGAGATGCCCGAGCGGCGCAGGATTGAGTAAACAAAAAAAAAAAAAGAAGAAGAAGGAAGAAGGAAAAAGGAAAGGAGAAAAGATTAAATGACGATAGTGGTCTCTGCTGTGAGGGACTTGAATGTTTAGCAGAAGAACTGTCGACCCTGGTGGATTGTTCAGTGGAGCTCTAATGGAGGAGAGTGGAGTCATTAGAATTGGTTACTGACGAGTGACGACAGAGACGGGAGCTTCAACACCAAGCTCAGTATAAGCCAATCATTATCACATGTTGTTAAGGCCGGTCCACGTATGTCACTCAAATACACATTACCCAAATTCATTATTAGATACACCTTATTTGTATGAGAGAAGCGCAACTCTGAATTCATTATCGTCAATCCTTTGTGGATCCCTCCAAGCTCTAGTTATAAGAAAGTTGCCATATATCAAGTTATCATTCTCAAGCCAACCAATTCGTTCACTGACATCAGTATCATCCTCCAGGTCTATCTGCAAACATTGAAATCGATGTGACGTGACGTTACAAAATTCACAAATCTCCCTCCAAGAACGCCGCCCATGCTAGATGCATATCTTTTCACCAACCAATCGCTCACCAGTCAGCTTAAAGTCGACAGGCAAACGAGAGACATCAAACTCTCAATCCTCGGCCCTTTAGTCAAACATGTCGACATTGGTAGTGGCAGGTGGTTCGGCAGTAGGTCCGCTTGCACGTCTCCTTTCAAGTCGACGCCGCTGTCGTCGATTTTCTGCTGTGGCCGATCCGTCAACTGGCCCTTCCCCAGCAGGTCCAGGGGGTGAGGTGTTGACAGATGGAGTGATACCACTCCAAGTGCCGTGGCTCTCAGCCAAACTAGACACGGTTTGGCCAAACTGGGCCGAGGCACCTGGCAGTAGTGACGCCGGCGTTTGTGCCTGCGTAGGTTGTCCGGAGTAATATGCGGAATCTTTGCCTCGTCGTTTTTGCTTCGCAAAGGAAGGGTTCGGCGGGGACAGAGGCGGCATGGCATCCTCCTCTTCAGCTCTTCGCTCGGCAGCCGTCTCAGCTCGCTTTTGGCTGGAGTCCCTTCGGTAACGTCGGCGGTACGAGGGCGACTCTATTCCAGAGATGCTGCTGACAGAGTCTCTTCGGCCCCGCGCTGCCTTCGCTTCCTCCTCTGTAAGTCGTCGGAGGGTCACGTTCCTGTCTTTATCATCATGTACCTTCATCTTGACACTGACACTGGCTGGGGATGCATAGCGTTCGTAACGCGAATCTTCCTCGCCTGGGGCAAGTCTTGATGTATCTCGGTCACCGGGCCGGCCTTGACGGGACCGCTGAGCCCGAGATCCTGGGGATATTCCTGAGGCCGTGGTTTCAGTGGGTGCCAGGATACCGTGGGGATCAGGTGGCATCGCAGGCATTGAGACATGCTCACTGCTGCGTCTCGAGTGGTTTCCTGCGCGGCCGGCCACGGGTGGGAGATTTGATTGCGGGGGTAAAGTGCTCATTTCAGTAGGTGGGACGTAGTTACCTCGTGCAGGCCGGGGCTCAATGGTCGATTCCGACATCTCGGTTGATAGAAGCGTGTCCGTGGGAGGGTAGCCTGTCTGTCGACGTTCGATGGGCCGGCGGCTGTCTCGTCTCGTGGGAGAGTCGTGTCCGTCGCCGCCGGTAAACCTGGACAGTGATGTCCCGGATCTCAAGTCCTCTTCATCACGTAAGCGTTGCTCTTCCTTTGCTGCCCTCCTGTCCGCCATCTTCTTCGCAAACCATCCGAAACCAAGACCACCCAGCAGTCCTTTCGCAAACCCACCACCAGATTTCTCAGGCTGGGGTCGCCGAGAAGGACTGACATAGGAAGAATAGTCTGACTCTTCGAAGAAGCTACGACCTGAATTTGGCGGGTATCGTTTGCCTCGAGGGGTCACAGATGGAGGAGGGGAGCTCAGGGCAGTCTCGGTATAACTTCCATCAGCGGCGCTCCGCATTTGTGACATTGCGGGAGGTGGCGGGCGATTTCCAGAGGGTGGCAGTAGCGAAGTACGGGTGATATCGGGCTCTCTTCTATTATTGGGTGTCACATCGCTGGTGAAATCAGTCCTGGTAAAGTCAGTCATAGTGGGAGCGCTTGCGGTTGCGCGATGGCGTCTGGGTGTTTCAGTCGACACTGCAGAATACTCTGAGTAGTCTTCATCGCGCGTGCGGTTCTTTTTGGAGAACAGTTTTCCGAGTCCCAGGACGGCCAAGAACTTTGCCATTCCACCTCCGGCCCCAGTTCCGCCGTTATCCTTCCGCGTTACATCGGAATACTTTTCCCCGGTGTGTCCAGTGAGGTAGCTAGCTGATCCGGTCCTAGAGGGAAGAACCTCTGGTCTTTGGCTGCGATCAAAGGAAGGGGATCGACTTCGGACTCGACTGCCACTTTCTTGGTTCTTATTCTTGTTTCGTCCTCTGGCCAGGGCTGCGAGTCCACCGAGTGCGATAAATGGGCCTAGCCATTTGGCTTTGCTCTTAGGAGGCTCCGATTTGTACTCTGAGAAATATTCAGACTCTGTATATCGAGTGCGTGTATCTTCTGTTGGCGCCAACTCAGACCGCATTTCTGAGCGTGCTCCACCCATATAGTAGTCTCTGTGAGAAGCAGACCGCCAACTCAGGATGAAGTACAAAATAAAGAGAATGAACATCCAGACAGCATAAAGAATGAATAGGTAGAGCGGTGAGCCGTACAAGGTGAGTCCGAGCGGAACCTGAGTAATGCCCAAGAGGGCAATCGCTCGACCGAACCATTGGTGAATCATGATGCGTAATGAGACGGACTTGGCCACCCTTCGCACGACCCAACCGCCCATAAGTTGCACCAGAAATAGAGTGAATATGGCGACACCGATCCCATGATGTGGGTTCGTCAAGCTTCGTTCTGGCCCGACTGCAAAGTAGCCCAGGATAAAGAGAGGCACCAGCAACAAGCCGGAAAAGACGTTGAGTTGGCCATGGTATTTGATGGCCCAGCCGGGACGCCTTGAATAGAATCTGGCAGTCATGACAGAAAAAGGGATGAGAAAGAGGAATATTATCGTTCCCAAAACGGCATGTGCTAGTACAAGGCCATGATATTGTGTAAGTGTAGAAAATCTGTTTCCCATGCCTATCACTCGGTGTTAGTCGAATACAATCCTTGAACTGGAAGACGGGCTTGAATACCATTGTAACGCATGGTTTCATGGTTAAGACCCTGTAAATTGGGCAGTAGAAATGTATTCTTGTCGAAATCCCACGTTCCATCTCCAACGACTTGAGTGTTTGAATCATAACTCACTGCACCGGGTGCAGAGAGTTCATCGGTTGCCGGCGCCATGATGGCGACGACAGGAAAGAAAGTTGTGTTTCAGGCGGGATCGGGATGTCTCGCGCGGTGAATTTTCGAGGTATTTTTGGTTCCTCGTAGCGTTTGGCGTGGTTCGTGTCTCGAGATCGGAATGAAGGAATGTTGTTGATGACCTCGCAGAATGCCTGTAGGTGTAGGTCGAGAAGCGAGGGCGATGTCGGATGTCTTAGGCTAAGAGTTCTAGCACAAACATCTTGCCTTGAATCCGCCGTAGTCGTAAACTCGAAACTAAAATCAAAGACAAGAGATGCCTAGAGCCCAGGTTTGTGTAGGTGAAAAGATCCTACAAAAAAAGGTAGGTAAGCCAAGCTCAAGGACTTGAGTCGTTCCGTTTGGGAGGGAACTCTCTTCCCGTCACCGTCACCGTTGCCAGTTGCTAAGGTAGGGATGGTTGGTGGGGAAACCGCGGGCAAGCTACTAAGGCTAGGTAGCCAGCGCATCCCATCATCATCCGTACCTGCCAGGTTTGGAGCATTTCGAAGATATTGTGGGTCAGGATACGTATTGCTCGATAGTGGGGCCGTCAGCGGTGAAGAAAACGGTGGCCCGTTGAGTTTGACGGGAGGCTTCATCAATACTAAGGTAGCATTGTATTGGATGTAACAAGTACCTATTCTATTGAATCTTTTTGACTGGCATGGACTCAACTGAGTTATCGTTACACAAGTTAGGCAGTGCCTGAAAACCCTCGATCTTGGTTCGATTTCTAAACCTTTAGTCCCTCTGGGTACTTAACTATGACTCGCCGCCTCGTTCTTCACCGTCTCTGCGCTCGAACAGAGAGCCCACATAGTATTTCTCAAAACTGCAATGTGCTTCGGCTCCGATTTGACACTTGTCAAGCTTTTCATCATGAGGCTGTTTGAACCACTAGGAGTTCGCAGCCTGATGCAATATGCCCCAGGCCGTGCGCTGTTACGACGTGTCGGCCCAAGTTCCGTATGATCCGTTGCGATGGTACCTGAAAAATACAGTCTAGGCTCCCATGATCTTGGGATGATGCTATTACTCAGTGCTTAACTCACTGAGAAGTCAAGGCTTTTTGTTACCTGAGCGATGTAAAATCTGAAGTATATACTATTGTGCTACCAGGATCTGCAAGGCCATGCAGCTAATAAGCTACCACAGAGTCACACCAAAGATCTCTCCACAAACAAATGCACCGTTTATGCAGCCAAGAAATGCACAATTTGTTCCTTTCTTCTTTCGTCTCACTAATAAAGACCAGCTGAATAGTGAAACAATGATTATGAAACCCTCCCTCTGATGCTGCCCCACCATTTCCAAGAACATGGCCGCATGGGTTGTTGAAGGATTGGGACGAAATATGCCAACAAAGTAGAGATATGCTCTAGAATCTCTAGAATTTTGGAATTTTTTCTCTCATAATTATAAGTCCAAGTCCTTGTAATCTAAAGTCTGAAGGAAGCATCTCTTGGAGCTGCCTCTAAAGTCATAAGTCTATGGCGTTCATCCATTACACCCATGTAACATCATTTATCTAAGACTGAATCCTGATCCTACAAACTAGCTTATACACACAGCCACAGAGCATCAAATGATAATGATGTACCCGTACCATGAAAGCATAAACAATTTCCCTTATTATGCTACTAACGTGTGTCTCACTCGAACAAAATGGCCCATAAGTGAAGAAAGTACAACAAATTCTATTCTCTCTCTCTCTCTCTCTCTCTCTCTCTCTCATATTGACCTTTGCGTAATTTGGGATGCGGACAATTGCCTTTACCACGGCGGTAGTGGCACTCACTGCGTCTGCCAACGCATGGCTTCCTAATGCCGAACCTCATGCCATGAACCAGCGTGACAATGAAATTTTTGTATACCCTCTTCGAACAGATTCAAACAACAAAAGGTGGCTTCCAGCGACCAAAAAGATCCGAGGAGTAAACCTTGGATCCCTCTTCATCTATGAGCCCTGGATCGATAGCCAAGAATGGGCCAACACAGGTTGTGAGGGGGAAAAGTCCGAATTTGACTGTGTCATGAATAAAGGACAAGATATTGCGGATAAGAACTTTGAAGCTCATTGGAAGCGCTGGATTAATCAAACTGATCTCGACGAGATGTTGAGCTATGGTCTGAACACTATTCGGGTGCCTTTAGGATACTGGCTAAAGGAAGACCTTGTTGATAATTCAGAGCACTTCCCCAAGGTCCGCGAATCATTTCTTGATATGCTGTAACTAACATTTGGAGGGTGATTTGGAATACTTGACTCAACTCTGCGGTTGGGCAAGCGACCGAGGCTTGTATATCATTCTCGAGTAGGTCTTTCAACAGAACCGTAATTCATACTGACTGTAAATCAGCCTACACGGTGCCCCCGGTGCTCAAGAACCAAACCAGCCCTTTACGGGTCAATATGCTCCTACAGTTGGGTTCTACAGCGACTACAACTATGATCGCGCGATCGAATGGCTCGAGTGGATGACCGATATAATCCATACCAAGAAAGAGTATCGGAATGTTGGCATGCTTGAGCTCGTCAATGAGCCGCTCAACTGGGACAATGCTGTTGATACGCTACGCAAGACCTATTATCCCAAGGCCTACAGTGTACTTGATATCCCACCACCGGCTTAATCTAATTCGAACAATTCGTAGGCAATTCGCGAGGTCGAGGATAAACTCAGGGTCACCAGCAACGACCGTCTTCATATCCAAATGATGGGTTCTCTATGGGGCAGTGGCAAGCCGACCGAGTTCCTCAGTGATACCTCATCCACGGCTTTTGATGATCGCCGATACCTCAAGTGGGATACTAGTGTTGAAGTTTCCCATGAAGCTTACATCGAGAAATCTTGTTCCGATGATCGCAACACTGACGGCCCCACGATCATTGGCGAATGGTCACTAGCTGTGCCCGATAATGTTGAGAAGACTGACGCTTGGAATCCTCAGACCCAGAAGGAGTTTTATACCAAGTGGTTCTCTGCCCAGGTGCACGCATATGAAAATAATACTCTCGGATGGGTCTTTTGGACTTGGAAGGCAAATCTTGGTGACGACTATCGCTGGTCTTATAGAGGTGAGCTCCAATTTCCAAACGTAGACACGATTGCTAATAGTAGTAGATGCGGCGCGAGCCGGCGTAATTCCCAAAGACCTCGACTCCCTTCTCGGTGTTTGTTGATGAACTACGTCTTGTGAACTTGAGGAAGACGATGCAAGAACCGATTATTGCTACTTATTAAGATTGGTTGTACTTATTGTATCTAAAGCCCGCTTGAACCATCGCTTTATAAGACTGGATTGACCTTGTGACGATATACCGATGAAACCTGCATTCCAGAACAGACGTAATTACCTCCTCAATACTAGAACCAGCCATGATGCCAGTCGGTATCCAGCAATGATGGAAATCATAATGCCAACATTGCGTCCCATGTGTCCGTTCGAATATCCATACTGATTCAACACAGCCTGTCCGTCAATTTCACACTGATCCGCCAGGGTTGACTGATACATGCAGCGGCATCCATCGCCACAGCTGTACACTCGATCGGCAAACTCATTGACCATCATACCCTCGAAAACATACTTCTGATAGTCCCAGTAGTGAAAGACGTATTTGTAGAAGACATTAAGGATAGTTGGAGGCACCATGAAGCCACCAACAGACATCCACAGACCATTCGCAAAGGCCACGAGTGCGAGGGAGATTACGAAGCTGGGGAATAGGGATGTCATAAAGACAACAAGTGACTCTGCAGCGAGCAGATCGAGGAACAGCCACAGAACCCAGGTGAAGAATGCCTTTGCAGTTGGCTGGAAGTTGGAAAGCCAGTATGAGATGACTGAGAAGAGAATGGAAATAAGGAACAGGTAAGGAATGCCGATGAAGAAGTTGGATATGATAAGTTCCGCGGCTCCATAAAGACCATTGTGGTGCTCTTTGACGTATTGAAGCCGATCTTCAATGAAAGCAGGGACATAAGCCACTGCCATGAAACTCATAAAGGCTGAGCCGAAAAATATGGCGTTGATGAATGGCTGAATTGACTCTTGTGCAGGGTCGAGCCTCACCCAGACAGTGCCCATCATGATGGCGAGACCAAGATACATAGCTATACGAATGCCGTAGGCTACGACATCCCGATAACTTTTGATGAAACTTCGATGGAGAAGAGTAAGCGTAAGACTTAACATGCTAGGCCTCTTCTCAATTGTATCGATGTTCCAGTCACCACCCGAAGATTCTGCAGACTTGATAGCACTGTTGACTTCACTGGCATGTCGTGAGTTTTGCCATGCAGCTTGAATTGTTTCCAAGTCTCTTGATGCCTCGCCTCTATCCTGGGCAAAGTCAATGTTGACCAGCTCAAGAAGATGCTCAGCAGGGTTGACATATTGAGGTAGCGGGGATCCAACTTCGGCATAGTATGCCGCAACACTGTTTACAGGTCCGAAGTAATGGGTCTTTCCGGCAGACAAGAGGAGCAACTTGTCGAACAAGTTAAAGGTTGATGTGGATGGTTGATGGATAGAGCAGATGACGATAAGGTTGTTGCGCTTGGCCACGTCGCGAAGATACTTGACAACTTCTAAACTGGCAGCTGAGTCGAGACCACTCGTAGGTTCATCGAGGAAGAGAAGCTTGGGGCTAGTGATGAGTTGGCTCGCAACACCGACGCGACGTTTCTGACCACCTGAGATACCCTTGCGAATAGGCGTTCCAATAAGGGTATTGGCTTGTTCGACGAGACCGAAAGACTCGAGGAGGTTGTTGATGCGGACGATTCGTTCTTTCTTAGACAACGAGCTATTCAAGGTCAGATACTATCTAGAAGCAGAGTATACAGAATGCTTACCTTGAGCTGGCGAGCCGCGATGAGAACTCGAGGGTTTCTCGGACAGTCAGCGAACCAATGAGAGCATCTTCCTGTTCAACGAAGCACGAAACTTCTCTGAACTCGGCAAGTGACAAATGACTTCCATTGATGTGGACTTCTACTTCAACACTGCTTGCATTCGTTGGACGGCGTGCTAGTACATTAAGAAGTGTTGTTTTTCCGCAACCTGAGGGACCCATGAGGGCGCAAATCTCGCCTGGAAATCTCATCAGCATGGTATCACTGAAGAATGGCGGTCACCACAAACCTGCTTCGACTATGCCTTCAACATTATCGACAATTGCCTTGGGCTGTTTTATTTCTCTGTCCTTGACTGTTACAGTGACGTTGCGCCAAGTGAAATTCTTGATTGTGGTGTTGAGAAGATGCTTCTCTGCGACAGGGCGTTGCTCCGAGTCCATGCTGTTGTCCAAGTCAGACGACTTACGGACCGTCATTTTGATGGCTTCAGGATTAAGTAGTAGAAATAAAGGGGGTTAGAGAGCACTGGTGAATGTAGCAATCGATCGTTTCGGTGATGTCAAGAAAAGACAACTTGCATCTTGTGTTCTTATATATGAGTAAACACTGCAGTCACCAGGAGAAATCAATTTGAGAGGACAGAGGAGAGACTGTCTCATCTTTCGGCGTCTTGATTATAGCCCGTGCCATCCACCAATTTTCAGCTGAAGCAAAAGGTGCGCGCGACTGGTAAATTTTGGCTGCTTACTTACTCAAACTCCGCCACTACCATTTTGGGACTTTGTGCTGACGTATGTATGCATTACTGCTTTTATTGCTCTATGGCCAGTTAAAGCTAATAAACATGTCTCCGAATGGAAGCGGACGATAAACAAGAAGCAGATCAAAAAGACCGAGATCCGAGTTCCGGCTCATCTCTGTCGTATCTCTAGATCTCTCTATAGTGATCAACTGCCATGTTATGAGATAATCGCAAGCTTACAGGTGGTGAAATTTGGATCCATATGTACAACACGTCCATGCATGTAAGCAATCTCGGGGTCTAGATTATTTCTGTCTCTATTATTACACATGCTTGTGATTTCAGCTTCTGAGTAAGATTTCACCCAGTTCCTGAATCCGTCCCGACTTGTTGGCTCCGTCATGTGATTGGCTCGTGATAGCTTAATTCCCGAGTAATAGGGCTGAGTCTCGGCCAGGGTCGCCGACGAGCCGAAGACTCGACATCGCCGAGGGCCGATTTAAACAGCGACGGGCAAGAATATAAAGCCTATTCTTGATCTACATTAGAAATGTCGTGTCTTTGATATCTGAGAGTCAAACCGACTTATCCGGTCTCCCTCTTCTTCAACTCAGCATTCCCGTGTCTCAGAGATAGGTATCGGACAATTAGATGCTCTGCCGGGAATACCATGTATCCTCAAATTTCTAAATACTAGTGCTACAATATTCTATATAAAACAACAGTCTAACTATCCATACTTCTCATTACACATGTACATTTTGCATCTATACATCTTGTTCATTGCAACAATGCATCAAAGTCTCTCTGGTCGAAGCCACCAGCCAAAATGCCAGGCTTTCAAATCAGGTTTCAAGTACAATCCTTACTTGGAAACCCTGTAGTGTTTAATCCCATTGCTTGTTCACAGGATCGGTCCAATGACCCATCATACCAGGCACAACCTGCATATCCTCAAACTCGTGGATCATAGCGTCGTCCGCCGCAATCTTATCCATCGCTTCATCATGAGTCATACTGATCCAAAACTGGGGCAATACTCTATGCTGCTTCTTGACCTGGTAGATGCTTCGAGCCATACTCTTCACAGAACTACTCTCTCGCTCTGAAGCGCTCCATACCAAAGACATTCGTGAGAGGGCACCAATGTTTAGGCGGAGCACCTGGCGTAAATTGTTCTCAGCATCGGGTGTAAATATGGCCCATCTGTGGAGGTGAATTATAGATGACATTGTAACCACGTAACTAAAGAAGTGGCTGTGAGAAAGTAGCGAGACACGATGAGCGACAAGCTTGCTGATCTCTGTCGCGGCTTGTATTATGTTCTTGGTATGATTGTTGAAGTCGCCTACTGACGACACAGAATCGTATTGGTCGGTTTGGCTGTTTGACTGGCTCAATATTGAGTTCAGCTGTGAGTATGGTTGATGAAGCAGAATCGACGTAGCGTGAGTTATCATGTGAGCTTGAAAGAGCATCTCGTCAAAATGGCCATATTGCCGTAAAGCGTCCGCCTTTGACTTGGGTAGGCTGACTCGCCAACTCGTCAACATCGTCTGGATATTTCTGAGGCTTTCGTCGTCGGGTCCAGAAACGGGAGGAATTCTCAAGAGTCGTCCGAGGTTTTGGGCCGCTTGTATTCGATACGCGAAAGATGAAAACCCCTGGCTCGTGCCGGAGAAGTCACTCTCATTCATATCCCTGAGATACATTGGCTCGGGAACGTCCTACAGAGTCAATCAGGTCAGAGAGATTCTACCATATAAAGAAATTAATATCTTACACCAGACAGATATTCATATTCCTCGCAAGGCAAGGCAACGTCAGAAGCTACATCGAACAGCAAAAAGTTCGTACTTCGATGGACTCCAGCGACTAGCCCGTCCACAATGAAAAGCTCCCACCACGTCCGCCTCCAACTCTCTTCCATCACTGGAATACCTCTCCCGTAAGTAGTCGCGTATGATCTTGTATTGAGACCAATATCCACAGAAATTCTCTCGAGTCCAGATAATATTTGTCGAGCTTGTTCCTGTTGGCCTTGTCCATCCAACCCGATCAGGAGGAGTAACAAAGCCTGCACAAGGAACCCATCTTTTCGACGACGTGGCTCGTAGATGAGTTGATGGGCTTCCTGGAAGAAACGTCCCCTTTCTGAACATGCCGGAATATGCAATGAGCCAATCCAGCGCATCACAGCGAGTACGGGTATCACAGAACTCTCGTGAGAGATCATCATGAGTGACTCCTTCGGCAACACAAAAGGATGGGCGGCATGGAAATGGTTGTAAAACGAGTCTATACAGCGTTCGGGTAAAGTAAGTGCAGGGACGTGCGTCACGACATGTTCATGCTGTGGACTCGTGAACAAGTTGAGCATATCAGTTGATGTATCTGCTGTGTCGTACGGCCCGAAGAAAGACATATCGTTCTCCATGCTGTTGCTAGCGTCCAAGGCAGGGTCGAGGAAAGGTGTCGATAATGGTGAGTGGAACATGTCGTCGCCCATATTAGGACTCAAAAATACGGATGAGCCCAGCGAAGCAGAACGTTCTGGTCTTGATGTCACTGAGCTTT